AGTTCTCTTCATGCCACTCCAGCTGCTTTTACAAACAAGATAATAGTTAAAAAACAGCACAGTGAAAGAGGTTACCAGTGCAGATGGATATGGACTGTTAGTGCATTGGTGAAAGATGTCATGGTAAGTTGGAGTTCCCTGAGAAGTTTTCATGGACGTAGTGAGCCATAGCTGAATGTTAAGATTTCTGATTGAGAAGCAGAAAACATAAAAATGCTGGGCAGCTCGCCCTGCCACTTGCAATCTTTCTGGACCCCAACAGGCACCAAGCTCCTACTGCCAAGAAGAGTTACAAAACCTAGACATTCCAGTCTAGGAAAAAAGGTCAAGAATTTGTTGCACTGTGCATTTAATGGCTTACTCCTGGATCAGCCTGTTTCAGCCTGGAACTTCCAGTGGGAAAGGGGAACGTGGTTGGCTGCTTCTCCATCTCTCTGTCTTCTCGTCTTTCCCCAACTTTCTGGTCTAGGAGTGTAAAAGGAACAGAAAAATATCCATTGAACTGACCAACCGGATGACAACCAGAATAAATCAGAATAAGGACATCTGTCATTTGTGGCTGTCCAAAATCTATTTAGAAGTCCCTATAATTTGATTGCTCTCCTGTTATGTTCCCACCTTTGTTAAGTAGGGTGGTGCTGGCCTGTAATGTAGACTCCACTAATCAGACATGCAATTTTGGAATAAAACCATGTGAGGAAGAAGGCTGGGTGCAGCTTGCAGTGGCTAGGTTCTGGGACCAGTGGTGGGAGAGCTGTTCTGTGGCCAAGTTCCAGGAGGGGTTTTTGGAAGATCAACCGTAAGTTTATGTCTCTATTTGGGCTACCTAATATCCCATAATAAATTCCTTTTCTGCTTCAACGAGCCGCAGGAGGTTGTCTTTTGCAACTAAGAGACTTAGCTGACATTCTTCTGTGTCTATATAACCCTCGTAGGTCTTGGTGTCAGACCTACCCTTCATTCCTCACTGTTACTGAGCAGATCACATGACGTCTAAGCAGTAGAGTGACCATGTGTAACTCACGATACAAGTAGAGTACAAAGTTCATTGTCTTCATCCCTTTTTTTTTAAACATTTTTTATTGAGTTATAGTGATTTTACAAAGTTGTGTCAAATTCCAGCATAGAGCAAAATTTTTCAGTTATACATGAACATACATGTATTCATTGTCACATTTTTTTTGCTGTGAGCTACCACAAGATCTTGTATATATTTCCCTGTGCTATACAGTATAATCTTGTTTATCTATTCTGCACATGCCTGTCAGTATCTACAAATTTTGAACTCCCAGTCTATCCCTTCCAAACCCCCTCCCCCTTGGCAACCACAAGTTTGTATGCTATGTCTGTGAGTCTGTCTGTTTCTGTTTTGTATTTATGTTCTTTTTGTTTGTTTGTTTTTTAGATTCCACATATGAGCGATCTCATATGGTATTTTTCTTTCTCTTTCTGGCTTACTTCACTTAGAATGACATTCTCCAGGAGCATCCATGTTGCTGCAAATGGCGTTATGTTGTCGTTTTTTATGGCTGATTAGTATCCCATTGTATAAATATACCACCTCTTCTTTATCCAGTCATCCATTGATGGACATTTAGGCTGCTTCCATGTCTTGGCTATTGTAAATAGTGCTACTGTGAACATTGGGGTGCTGGTGTCTTTTTGAAGTAGGATTCCTTCTGGATACAAGCCCAGGAACAGGATTCCTGGGTCACATGGTAAGTCTATTTTTAGTCTTTTGAGGAATGTCCATACTGTTTTCCACAGTGGCTGCACCAAACTGCATTCCCACCAGCAGTGTAGGAGGGTTCCCCTTTCTCCACACCCTCCCCAGTATTTGTCATTTGTGGATTTTTGAATGATGGCCATTCTGACTGGTGTGAGGTGATAACCTCATTGTAGTTTTGATTTGCAGTTCTCTGATAATTGGTGATATTGAGCATTTTTTTCATGTGCCTATTGATCATTTGTATGTCTTCCTTGGAGAATTGTTTGTTTAGGTCTTTTGCCCATTTTTGGATTGGGCTGTTTGTTTTTCCCTCCATCCCTGTAATATTTATTTAGCAGAGGAAATCTTTCCCTATCCGCTGATGGAAACTCTGGTGGATCCCAAGGCTTTTATGTTCAGGGGGTATGGTCACTTTAAGTAACCAATACAGTCTGAAGTCAGTAATCAGAATATCCAGTGGAAGACATTAAACAGATATCAAAATGTGATTTAATGGCTTCCTCCTCTTACTCCTGGATCAGCCTGTTTCAGCCTGGAACTTCCAGTGGGAAAGGGGAATGTGGTTGGCTGCTTCTCCATCTCTCTGTCTTCTCATCTTTCCCCAACTTTCTGGTCTAGGAGTGTAAAAGGGACAGAAAAATATCCATTGAACTGACCAAATAGAGTCAGTTTAAATATGGCAGACGTTTATAGCAGAGTCTTTCATGAAGTGCTTCGCGGTTCTTCGGAAGCTAAGATCAGGTCTCTCAGACATCAGTCCCCTTGTCCTGAACAGGGGTTTTCCTCCTGTAGTTTCTGGTAATCCGGCTTTCATTTCCAGTGTTCTGCTGCCTCTCTGGGAGGCTGTATGTATAGGACAAGCCCCCAGGATGAGCTCTTACACCTGGTTCCCATCAACATCCCTTGTCCTGACAAACTCGAGTCGTGTTGGCTAATATCAGCGTAACAGTACTTTCCCTGCGCCTGCCACCAGGGCAGTCAGCTCCTATTCTGAGTTGAGATTCTCCATACATATTAGACCTTAAACCCTTATGACCCATAGTGGTCACATGTTAAGTGCTTTCAGTAGCCCCTGGAAGTCCAC